TATTTCTTCAATAATTATAACTTCTACTTTTTTCAGACTTTCTTTTAGGCTTTGATTGTGTACCACTAAGGTTTCGTAATGAGAATAAGTCTGTCTTATTTTTAGTGCTGAGTGGATAGTTCTTTCACCTATGTTTGTGTGGCTACTCCAGTTGGTGCAATTACAAGGTGATTAGTTTTTTCGATTTGAGTAGGTTTATGATTATGTGTAGTAGGTACGATTTATCCATGCCTGCTGATCCGGTTAAGAAGAAGAAAAAGTATTTGCTGTCATTTTCTATTCCCATGAGTTGCGTATGATGTTATATATTAAGTATTGGTCTTCGTCAAGCATTAGTGAACTGTGTCGCTCAGAAAAACAACTACTAGGAAACCACCTGAATTATCTTGAAAAATTTAAATCTTTATTCTCTGAACAGTACGAACAAGAAATTAATAGACATCGTAAAACTAAACATACAAAAAGAAACAACTTACTTTAATATTAATGATAATCCAGCATCAAGACACCAATTTCCTATTCAAAACGCTTTTGCCCTCACAATCCACAAAACCCAAGGCTTAACACTACTATACACGACACTAAGCATAAACGATAAAATATTCGCAGAAGGACAAGTCTACGTTGCAATGAGTAGAGCTCCCACGTGGGAATCCATCAACATTGTTAACTTTAACCTTGACTCAGTTAAGACAAACGTATCAGTAATAAATGAATATGCGAGACTAAGCGAAGTAAACAGAAAAGGATTACCAAACATGTTAAATAGATAACCCTATATTTAAATTTTTAACTACATGCGTTTTTTTACGTGATCTAATCTACATATCGGTATAACAAACATAAAATCAAATGCTTAATAAAACAACCAATCAAGACACGTATTCGGTTACATAAAAAAAAAACTTGCAGCGAAACGCACATGATTCTATTTATATTATGATATATATATATCAATTTATGATCTACAGTAATTTAAATGATTTGCTACTACTTGTGTAGAATTTGAATCAACTAAAGAAAAAAAAATAACAGATACAAAATAAAATGTAAAAAAAAAAACAATCTAATTTCACCATTCAAAAAAGAAAAAGCAAAAAAAGTATTACAGAAACATCATACC